CTTCTTCTTCTTCTTCTTCTTCTTCTTCTTCTTCTTCTTCTTCTTCTTCTTCTTCTTCTTCTTCTTTTTTCCTCTTTTCTTCCCTTCCTCCCTTTCTCTCTTCTGTGAACCTGCACATCAATCAGGGAAAACAATAGTTGCCCACTGCCTGGGTTTTCTCAATATTTGCTCAATCTATCAAACAGCATATGAGGATAAAGTACAAGTAGGGTTTTGGGAAACTGATGGAAGGAGCTCATAGTGGTGGCGGTGCCTGAGGGCTCAGGTTCATGGGAGGTAACACAGAGGTAGAGCAGTGGGAAGGGAGGAGCTATCCATATACCTGAGTTGTAAGGATGTTTGGATTTCCCAAGGCTCATGCCTAATAAGAGATTTTGCTTTGAGATCAACTCTGGATTAGTGACCTCCATTTCATGTTATCCTGATCAGAGGATATAGATGGTGTATGAATTCAGAAAATCCCATTTTCTGATCCATGAGAGGGAGATTCTTCAGGGCTATGCCCCATGTTGGACAGATCCAGTCAATCCTGACTGTTCATCCCCAGTGACATCTACTACCTGTAGTCACCATGGCATCTGAAGGGTCTCGCAGAGTGAAGCATTTCTATTTTAGCCTTTCCTGTCCTGTCCCAGGCCTGGATCAGCTGAGAGAGGGAGAACATGAGATGATTCACTTGTTGCCACCCTTCCCATGGTCTCCAAGAGGAACCAGTTGTGCTTGCTATTCATCTCCACATTCACTTAGAAGACTAAAATGCACAACAGAATTAATCTGAGCTAAATATCAGGGTCCTGGCCAAGAGATGTGGTTGTTTCTGTTCGCAGAAGCCCAGAACTTCCACCTGATTTAACTTGTCTTCACCAGAGAATCCTGTTACGCATAACAACCTCACCACAAAGGGTAGACTGAGAGGACAGGCCCAGGTGATATCATTGTCAAACAGTAGGTGCCCAAAAAATGTTAAGCCAGAGATTTTCACTACAAAAGCTGGAATGAAGATAGAATAACCCTAAAAAATCCCACTTTCCTAAGGCAAGGTTCATATTCTGTATAAAGTGCAAGCTGTCCCGAGACTCCCCACCAGACCTGAGAAGCCTGTCAACGTGAACTTCTTTGCATGCCTGGTGAGTCTCTCTCCTTGGATTTTATCATTATTTGCTTGATGGTATTTTATTTTGATTGGGTTATCTTTGCCATGATAGGATATATTTACTTTAAATGTAATGCAATTTGTGTTTAAGATGACTTGATAGATCTTTTTTGACTTCTCACTCAGATTAGAGCTGTGGAACTTGGGGTCAGAAAGGAGAGTGGCTTCTGTTGACCATCTGTTCAGTTAGCAGGAGAATATGAACTACAACCCATGCCCAGGGCACTTGTAGTGACATTTTAATATTCCCTATAGTAACTGTGGAGAACTTGCAATATTGAAGGCACTGCTTTGGCAATTTAGATGTTTAAAAGATATTTTCTTTACTCCATGAACCTACCGTCCATCAGAGAGCAAAATACACAAGCATAATTTGCAAATATACTGCATGGAAGGTACTGTACTGTGGCAAAATGAAGAAAATGATTTGGCAGAGAGTGTCTAGGAGGAGAGCTGTAATGGGTGAGCATGTGTGGACAAGCCGAGATAGAATGGAAAACCTTCCAGAAAGCATGCATGGTGCAGATGATGTGAACAAAGAATCATAGGCGGGATCATGTGGGCTCAAGGAGTTTTGTATAGAATTTTTCTATGACAGCTAAGGCACCCTATGTAGGAGACATGAGAGAGTAGACTCCAAACTTTTGACTTTATCACCTTTTCATATTATTGAAACCTGGGACCTCCCTTCATTCCTAGGAGCTGACCATTGTGTTGAGTTGCTAATGTAGATTTTCAGGATCAACAGGAGAAAAGGAAGCGTAGACAAAGACTCCACTTCCATGGAGCAGAGTAAATCACCTGTAAGCTTCTCCTCCTGAAAGTGCATAAGAACCACCAAAGTTTCCTTCAATCTCAAAAGCAGGGAAGCTGGAAGAAAGAGAGTTTCTTGTTTCTAAAGGGGCATGAACTAGGACATATTTCTCATTGAACTTGGCTTCTTTGTTTTACCAAACCACCAAGTTGGTTTTGTCTGTAGGTCCAGCCTCCTGTAAAGCATGAGTTCCCAACAGCAGAAGCAGCCCAGCACCCCTCCTCCCCCACCTCAACAGCAGCAGGTGAAACAGCCTTGCCAACCTCCACCCCAGGAACCATTTGTTCCCATTACTAAGGAGCCATGCAACACCAAGTTGGGAACACCAAACTTCCTGAACTGAGCTACCCCCAGTATCCCGAACCAGGCCATCCCATGATTCCTGAGCCAGGTCACACCAACCTCCCTCAGCCTGGCCAAACCAACATACCAGAACCAAGTCCCTCAACCATTATTCCAGGCTCAGGCCAGAAGACCAAGCAGACCTGATGTGGTCCACAGCTCTGTCCTTGAGGAGGCATGCCCTTGAGGAGCCATGCCCTTGAGTTGCTGACCGCTGGATGCTGACTACCTTCTACCCTTCTGCTTTTGTGTCTTCATTGCATAGATGATCTAATCAGTACATTCTCACCCTGACTCAGTCTCTCTCTTATTTGCATTACAAAAATATATGATATGACACTTTCCCTTACATACTCTGAGCCTCTGAATTATGCAGAAGGCCTTAGTGGCTTTGCTGACCCTCAGTTGCTCAAGATTCATCTGAAGAGGCAATCTGGATTGGAAGAATACATGTTTCCTGCTCTGCTCCCATTAAATAACTTGTAATTCCACTCCTGATTGTTTGTATCATTGGCTAAATCTGCCCTTTCTTCATTCTACCATCATGAGTAGGACCTATAGACAGAGAAGTTACTGTAGACATCATCTATCTAATCGTGGTACCGTGTGCTGCTATGAGTGTGCATGTGGTTATATTTAAGGGGCATCCCTGGAATGGCAATAGCTGTTTTATTTTTTATTTATTTTTATTTTTTTAAGATTTTATTTATTTATTTGTCAGAGAGAGAGAAAGAGCACAAGTAGGGGGAGCAGCAGGCAGAAGGAGAAATAGTTTCTCCACTGAGCAAGAAGCCTGATGTGGGACTCAATCCCAGGACCCCGGGATCATGACCTGAGCCAAAGGAACCACCCAGGCATCCTGGCAATAGCTGTTTTATAATGGAACCCAAAGGCTATCATTCTGGGCAGCCACACCTGGAGCAGGGCTCTCTTCTGGCACTGGACTCATGTCTTAGTTCCAATGGTGCTTTCTCAAGCTACCTCTCATCCTGAGTACCCTGCCCCTAAGACTCCTGTTTATTCCCTAAAATTACTCCTACATATATGAACCTGATATTCTGGTTTTCTTCACCCATTTTACCTTCCAGATACCTAGCACATGCAGACACACACTCATGAGGCACATTCATTGTAAATAGCCACACACTCACTGAATCACCCACACAGTTTCCACCCTCACTAGTTCAGGTAATGTTATCTTTTGCTGGGGACCCACTGTGTGTAGCCAGGCCTGAACCTGTACCAGGGAAAGTGATGGGAGAATACATAGTGCCTCCCCTTGGAGAATTTGCATTCTTCTTTAGGAGGGGAAGTATTCATGTCCTTCTCATAAAAACACACACACAACCACATGCACATGCATAAGCACACATACACCTGCAATAGTATCTCTCCCAAAATAACCCAGAGGAAACTATTTATTAAGTGACTAGGAAAAGAGGGGATTAATTAAGATAGGATTACAAGGTGACAAGTAGTTGTCAAACTCGCAGCAGTGGATGATGTTACTTAGGTCTGTAAGGTATACATCTTTGAGGTGGTTTCATGTCACTGCTGATTTCAGTGGTGAAAGTGTCCAGGGCCACTCATAATTAAACAAGCTAATCCGAAGTGGGGAAATGGGCTCTACAATACACAACTTATGAATATGGTTGAAACATCCTAAAGGAGAGTTTGGTAGGGAAGAATCAAAAGTTTTGAAGATCACCTGACTCTTGAGCCAATTTTATTCCAGGAATTTATTTTTAGGAAATATTTATGCATATACACAAAGATTTTATACATCAAGATACTCACTTCAGCATTGTATCTAATAGCAAAATTTTGATAACTATCAATAGGTAATGGTTTCAATAACTGATGGGTGTCTATGTATTGGGATTGTACAGCAGCCATTAAAAACAATATTGTAGAAGAATGATTAGTCTTATTGGAAAATGTTCAGATCATATTAATAACACAAGCAGACCCCAAACAATACAAACAAAAAAGAGTCTTTTAATAATGTATACATGTGTGTGGATTTATAGAAAAAATACCTTGACACTAAATACAGTAAAATATAACTGGTTATTACTGGTCACTTTTATGGGAGTATTTCTTTCTTTCTTTTTTCTTTCTTTCTTTCTTTTCTTTCTCCTTTTTTGAATAGCTCTATTTTTCTACACTATACATTATATAATGTTATGTTATGGTTTTTAAAGCTTTCTACCATAATATTAAAAAATATAGAAGTCAGTGAAAATGTTGCTGACTAGAGAAACTGTATGTCCTGCCCATCAGAACATTCCTGAGGCACTGCAGCCCAAGAGTGGAGGATCCTTGTTGGAGTAACCATGGTGTCTCTCCTCCCCACATATCCCCACCTCAGTTCTCCATCTTCTCACAGGGACCCTGGGGACTCCAACACCTCCCTCACACTCAGAACCCCAGGGTCCCACATCTTGCTCACTGACTTGGACAGCTGATGCCAGTCAAGTGTTAAAGGAGGATTTGTCCCCTTCCTGTCTCAGATCCTTGTCTTCCCTCAGCTGCTCTTCTCCTCTTGGCCTGGTAAAATTGTCCCCCATGGGACTATTTCAGTGTAAAGAGATTGAGGTCCAAACCATGCAGTTTGGCAAACTTCAGACCTACAGCCTGTTTGCTCATGTAAACTGTGCAGATAAAGAAATGCACATTTGGTTTCTCTTTGTGGTTCTTCTTTGTTTTTCTTACCTTCACTTCCCTTTGTCCTACAGAATTATGACTTTTAAAAACAGATTCTTCCTGGCTCAGATAGAAAGTGGTGATTGAGCAAGTTCTCTGTACTTACTTATCTCTGACTCAAAAAAGTGTCATTTCTGGGTGTTTACGTCAATCACTTTTTAATTTATTCTTTACTAAACCCCAGCTTAATTTTCTCAATTCTCCCCCCTCTCTTTTGTCTATTCTTTTTTATGTTCTATATTGGACACCCCTCCCATCCCTACTATCCCCACTTCCCCAGAACCAAGTGGCCTGTCTGGGCTTTAGAGTCTTATTGGGCCCATCTGACCTTTGACATGTTTTCAGGCACAACTGCCAGGGCTGAACTGCCTTGCACTCCCCACTCCAGGGCTCTCATCACACCCTGAATGCTGGACCACACCTGACTTCTCTGCACTGTAAGCATCATAAGGGCAGGAACAGTCTCTGTCCAGCTTAGGGCTGTCAACTCAGGGCCCAGCCTATCACCTGCCAAATGGTGGGAGCTTATCTAATGTCTGCTGAGATGCTGAGTGGCTTATATTTTCACAGATGATGCTGTGGATTTGTGGGGAACATTCCGAACCTCACTTACTGATCCTGGATAACTCCTGTCCTCTGGTAAGACCTTGAGCCTAAACTATCCCAACCCTATTCTGCTCCTACATCTAAAGCAGCAGGACTCAGAACTGCAAACCACCTACTCTTTCCTGTCTGTACCTACAATACTTTTGGAAAAATGGATTCTGTATCTTCTAGAACACTGGGAGCAACTGTGGGCAGGCTTTCCTCCCCCAAATCTTCTGAGAGACCCCCTCTCCATTAGAGTCTGTCTATTTCACATGTAAATTTCATGAGGACAATAGGGGTTTAGGAATAGAAGACCCACACCGCTATCCCAGTGAAAAAAATTATGAGAAATATGATAGAATTTTCTAGAGCTATGGGACATAAGATATAATGATCAGTAGTACATTAGCCTATATTTTTTATGAAATGTAAGTTGTGGCTTTATTTTTCTATGACTGTTTTTAAATATTTATCTCTTTTTCATTAAGATTAACAAAACTCAGAGAGATCTATGAACATTTTGTTATAAATCAGCCAATGATGATACTTTCATCGTGCCACTTCTACCTGGATCTATTACTTAAAAATGAAAAATTGATTTGAAAATCCTTAAAGTTATAGTCCCTATAATAATTCTTATTTAGTTAATGTCTCCTACCGTATCCTAGTAAGCTATGTACATACCACTAAAACAAAGAAACAAATAATAATCAAACAAAACTTATTATCCATATTATTTGTCAGGGTAGGCTTTCTTTTACACACACACACACACACAAACGAAACATAACAAAAACACCAAAATGTCCATGAGTTCATACAATAGAATTTTATTTTTCATATTTGCCCTAGTCCAATATGGGTAGGCAGGATGTCAGAATCCTTTCCTTACATGTCTCAAAACCTCAGGGTCATTCTTTCCAATGTATTCTACAAAGCAAACAGTAAGTACCATCACATGTGTCACCACACAACATTATTACGATATTACTGAATATACTCCCTATGCTGTACTTTTCACCTCCATGACTTATTTATTCTATAACTGGAAGTTTGTAACTCATAATCCCCTTCATCTATTTCACCCATCCCCCACCTATATAGTTAATTTTTAAAAATCAAATTTCTGTACTGTAATGATTCCCTTTATTTCTACTTTCACAAGTTGGCCATTTCCTTCATTAACTCATTAATATTTTGCCAAATGGAGTCAGGAATAACTGATACTAACCAAATCTCTGCATCTTTCCACTCATTTTTTTTAGAACTGCAAACTTATAGGGCAAATAGTTTGCTTTTCATTCTATCTTTTTAAATTAACATTAATGTATTATTTGTTTCAGGGTTACAGGTCTGAGATTCATCAGTCTTACACAATTCACAGCGCCACCATAGCAAATACCCTCCCCAAGTCCAACACCCAGCCACCCCATCCCTCCCACCCCCCTCCACTCCAGCAACCCTCAGTTGGTTTCCTGAGATTAAGAGTCTCTTACGGTTTGTCTCCCTCTCTGGTTTTGTCTTGTTTCATTTTTCTGTCCCTTCCCCTATCATCCCCTGCCTTGTTTCCCAAATTCCTCATATCAATGAGATCGTATGATATTTGTCTTTCTCTGATTGACTTCTTTTGCTTAGCATAATACCTTCTAGTTCCATCCATGTAGCTGCAAATGGAAAGATTTCATTTTTTATGGCAGCATAATATTCCACTGTGTATATATATATACCACATCTTTATCCATTCATCTATTGATGGACATCTTGGCTCTTTCCATTGTTTGGCTATCGTAGACATTGTTGCTGGATAAACACAGGGGTGCAGGTGAGCCTTCAATCACTACATTTGTATCTTT